CATGTGTGTACAATATTGGAATATGTATCAGAGCAATGTAAAACAGACTTTTTTTAAAAGAGTAACGAATGGAGTTTCTTGCTCGTTCTTCTCCACTCGAATCGACATTTTGGAACGAGCGCCTACCTTCACTGACGGACAGACTGACAGACTATTATATATTTCATATTTGTTAACGTTTCAAAAGTACCAAATTATGGTTTAATTGAAATAAATGCTTTTGAGTTTGAGTTTTAAATAAAGTATTACCTCCTCTCTTTTCTTTCTACTTGATTCTTCTTCCTGCTCTGCAGCTAATTTTGATTTATCTTCATATTTGTGTATGTGTATTCGGTGGTTACCTAGAAAGATAATTATTATTAGATTCTTATAAAAATACCACAGGTAGACATATTAATAACTGAGTTTATTCTTTCATTTGGATTTAAATATTCATGTGAATGGGAAACCAATCACAGAAAAAACAAATAATGTTTTGCGAGACTTGAGAATGGCTTCGGAGATCTGCAGTCACACTCGTGACCATTTGAAGATTGACAGACAGATGACAGATAATTTATTTTACCTAAAAACAATTTGTCTTTTCCTAAAGCCTTCTTAAGCTCCTTCTCAGTTCTAAACCCAACGTAACAAAATCCAGTGACCTTCTTTCCTTTACCATAGGGTAATCTTATTGAGAATGGGACTAGAGGTCTGAAGAACTCTTTAATATCCTTCTTTTTACATTTGTATGGCAAACCCATAATCTGAAACAGAGAGAAAATAATTATACTTAACATACATAACATTATTCCAGAGATAAAAGATTTATACTAATAAATGTGACACTTCTTGGCAATTATTGTGCCACCAATCATATAAGATAGAGGAAACAAGCATAATTATTATTATGGTAATACATTTGCGACAGCTGATAATCTTCAAGTTTCCAAACCTAGAAATATAACCCAAAACTCAGTTAAACCATTAGTTACCATTTAACCAACAGTTAACAAAATTCTCGATTTTTCGATTACCATTTAGGCCTTATCCCAAAGTTATACTCTCTTTAAAATCAACAACCAAGTCAAAGGGCCACATGTCCAAATTATATTAATCTATCTGTTATAATATAATTTTTATTGTTTATATTTTTAAGAGAAATCAATTTAGTCTATGAAGATTATCAATTGTATCCTTCATTAGTATTGAATAATCAATTAAGATTCCTACACAGCTATTTTAATCATTAGTAATGCAGTTGGTTGGCCAGCTACTGTGGTAACCATGGAGTCTAATACACCAACAATATTTATTACTTACTTTAACATGAAACAATGGTCTGTTTCTAATTTTCTTTGGTTGCTGTTCCTCTATTGTCTGTTCATTTGATTCTTCTGCTACTTTTTCTCTTGCTGGATCTCCCACTTTCTTCATTAGTAATTTCATGTACTAGAATAAGGTGAAAAAAACATTCAATATTATAATTAGTTAGTTATAGAACTTATTAATTAAACTGTCAAACACCAAGCAGTCACCGGTGACCGCAACCTATTGTTCTTTAATTGTGTCTATAATGACGGTACCCAACAAGTTAACTATAAGGCAAAATTTTAAAGATATTTTCAGTTTGAGTACGGAGCTTCTAACCTATTGTTATACGACAATATGTTGGCCCATGGAACTTTTTACATAACTGGTGAAAAGTGGCTGCTAAGAAATAGAGATACCTTTGGGCTGTGGGCTCAGTATTTGTTAAGGGTGAACAAATATTGACTTGACAAATTTTTGGATTCTCCTTTAAAATTGTACTTTAAGGTATTGAATTAAAAAGCAACTAGCAAAAATGTTTTTTTTACTATCTGCAGCATCAATGCTAAATGTAATTAGGTAATGTGATTAGCAACACTTATTACTTACTTACCTCTAAATCACTGATTGCAGTTTCTGCAACTTTTTTTGGTTTTTCTTTATCCTTTTTGACTTCTTCTGTTTCTCCTTTCTTACTTTGTTTATCTTTTACAGGAATTTCATCTTTCTTTTGAGTTTCTTTCTGTTCATCATTAGTTTCCTCATTGTTGATGTCATCATCATCATCATCATCGCTCTTTGAAGCGGAATCTAAGGCTTCTTTTATCCAAGTTGTTTTGTCATTCACATGGGCTTCTATGAATTCTGCGAATAGCGGATCATCTTTGTGCTGAAATAAAATGTTATAAAATGTTTTTAGTTACTAATTAGAGCAAAAGACAACAAGAAGTGAAAAAAATATCAGAACTCTGAAGAGCTGCAATAATTGGTGTATAATACTACATATACTTTTAAATAATTTCTTTTGTTAGACTTGTATGTTGCTAAAGAAGAGGTACTTATTGTATTTTGTTAAATGTGTTAATAAGAAAGAACTCTTGTATTTACCTTCCGGAGTAGTTCTTTGATTTTATTTTTGTTTTTCTCAACTTTTTTCTCTTTCTTTTCTGTCTTCTTTTTATCTTCAATTTCATCTTTGTGGAGCTTCTTGTATGCGCTACTGTCTGGTGCATATTTGCTCCAAGCTTTTGGTTTTTTCTCATCACCCAAATTTGCACAGGTTTGGACTTGGATTTGCATAGAATTTATGCATGTTCCATCAAAGTACTCCCTTGCTTGATTGGCTTGTTCCTCTGTTCTATATCCAATGAAACCAAAGTTCCGAAACTTGCCATCTTTCGTGTATTTCAATTGCACATCAGTTACTTCGCCTTTTTCACCGAATACATCTTTTAATTTTTCTACAGTTACCTGAAATAGTTAAAAATGATATAATTATAATGTCATTATTATTAATGAATTAATTATTTAATAACACGACAAGTTTCACCACATTAATATATGTTAAATTCAATGTTGTAAAAACTTAAAAGTAAGAATTTAGGTTTGTCGTAAAGTGATGTTGAAATAAATACATACCTTATTTGGTAAATTCTTAACTATAAGTCGAGACATTTTACTGAAAATCAATTAAATTTCTATTTGTAAATAAATAGCACGTGTTGCTTATGCTCTGCACATTTCATCGCACTGACACTTGACAGAACAGTGACAAATGACAACTGAACTGACGGTTCAGGTGAAAGATTGAGGGCACGTTTAGAAATCATATAACAACATTAATAGCTTGTAGCGAAATGTTTGCCTGAACCGTAATTTACTATCATCATTTCATCCTCATTAACGCCCTGTTCTCGTCCACTGCTGGACATAGGTCTCTCCAATGGCACGCCACCGAGCTTGATCTTCAGCTAATTTTCTATACCAGCCTGTTATGTTTGTATTCTGCGACCTTGGTATTTTGGTACTACTTTACTGGTGAAGCATAATTTATGGATGTTGAATATTTTAGATTTCGATTACGTTTCTACACGAATATTAGTAAGAGTCCGAACTATTGTCAAAAATAGCTTTAAAGTGATCAAAGTGATGAAGTGTCATTGCATTGGATAATGGATAGGTCAGCTGTCAGCTGTCAGCTGTTGCTGTTGAGTGTTATCACTTGTCTGGTCTGTCAGACTCAGTTAGAATTAGAAGGCTTGGCAGTAATTACAAATAAATTATTGATATTGGAAAGATTTTACTGAAATCTCTGCCGGTAAATGACTTAGAGTATTGTTTTTGATCGAACCAATTGTTTCAATTCATCAAGATGTCGACCGCTATGACTTTTGGGCAAAAACAGTTCATACCAACCCCACCAGATAAGGGAAGCTTTCCTCTGGACCATGATGGAGTTTGTAAAGATAGTATGAGAAAATATATGAAGTGTTTATTAAACAATAACGGTAATAATTCTATGTGTCGAGATGAAGCGAAAGAATACCTGGGATGTAGAATGGACAACAATCTAATGGCCAAAGAAGATTGGAGTAAATTAGGTTTCAAAAATGAAGTTACAGAAGATAAGAAATGACATTTTGTTATTCGTTTAGGTAAGAACATTGTTGATTGTATTGTTGTATTTAATAAATTTTAGTAATAGCATATCTGTAGTGTTTATTTCATGGTATACATAATACAATTATTTATTCATAATTATATGTAATCTTCATATTTAGACTATTATAAACTAGCAAATAGTTCGCATCATAATATTGTTATTCATAATTATCTAAACGTGATTTCGTTAAATTTTGCCACAGTAATACTGTAAAACTTGGTGATGATGGTGTTATTAGTTATAAAGGGCCATGGCCATAGACTTGAGGGCAAGTAACACAAATATTAGACAAATAGAAAAGTTCAACATATAATTAATTCTTAAAATGCGATTTGTTTCCTCACAGCAAATATTCTACCAACTGTTGATTTAGTTGTGGATATGTGTGTGGATGAATATTGAGATATAGCAAATTAACAACAGAATGTATGGCATTGGTAACAATAATATCTTAAAGTTAATAGGCAATATTTATCTTAAAGTTTTACTGGTTGACATAGCTGAACATGTTGATGTGATATTCATACCAGTACTTATGAGAAAGGTAAGAATGGCCACTAAAACTAACTTTCAATAACATAAAAATATTTTTTATTATTAATAATAACATGACAATTGTTTAGTATGTAAGTGATAATACCTAGCAACAACAAGATAGGAATTACCATAAAGTTTAAATTAAATAAAAATAAATTTACTTATTTCAAAATAACTTATCTAATTGACTACCTCTCAGGGTCAGTTGACAGTAGGCTAGCAGATTGCTGCTCTGTCATTACTTCAATCAGACGTTGGCCGAGATGGCTCAACTGATGTAACAATGAGGTTTGTTCGCGAGTAACTTCTAGCCTCTCTGTTTCTAATCTTAATCTCTCAGCTTCCAGTTTTATCCTTTCCATCTCTCTCTCATGAAGGCGCTTGTCTCTCTCCTCTTCATACATGAGTCGCCTTCGCTCAATGGCTGCAAATTGTTCTGCCACCCGTTCAAAAGGTGTATGGAGTCTTCTATTTCTTCGTGTAACTGTAGCTCGTCGTGAAGTTGTCGAGAATTGAGAAGATGATACAGGCTGTCTGTTATTTTGCTCTATAAAAGTATGGGTTTGGGATGGTGGTGGTGACAGTGATGGGAGTGATGCTGGTGTAACCAGTATTGTTTCTTCCTTTACTTGTGGTGACTGTATCACATATATGTCAGGTGTCACAACTAAAAAATAAAAATGAGATATTTGAATAAGTAGGTTACACCCATATTGATTAGTTGGAATATGCTAGTCTCAATAAGGGAGAGTACCATACAATACCTTGCTGTGAAATAACAACTAGAAGGAAAAAGAATATGACTTCATAATACAAGTAACATTTGGATTATATTGATACAGCGTAACAATCAAGAGCCAATTCAATTATGCATGTAGAAAAGGCTACACTAGTTAGGAACATGCAGTTACTAGCATTATCTTATTGTGTAATGTTTAACTTACTATTCTGGTTGCTGTGGTTCTCCAGCACAATATCATCAGTATTACTAGGGCCCGGTAACAGTTCAGTAGCACTCTCAATCTTAAAATTATGACACAAATAAATTTTAATTATAAGTACTGCCTATATTGCATACCCAAATTTTATTGACTAAGTAGGTACTTGATTAATTTAAAAGATTGATTACCTTGTAGTCTTGCTCTTGAATGACAATTTGATCAAATTTTTTAGTTACTCCCATGACTGCCACCACTCTTTCTTCTAACGCAGTTATTTTAACAAAACGACCTGAACCATCACATTTGTTTATATATTTTTTTTTAGTTTTCGTTTTCCAGTCGGCCCATACCTAAAATCAGCAACATTATTATGTAAAAAAAATCATATATTTTCCATTTTACAAAATTATAATAATTATAATTAAATAGTTACTTTTTTCCATTTATCTGATGGTTTCTGAACACCACCAGGAATAGAATTTAATATTTTTGTTAATTGCATCCACAGCAACTCACAATTATTTCGTCCTATAAGCCCTGGCGCAGGTTTCGATAGATCTCCGTGCCTAAAATGTAAACAATTACATGACCTATCTAAAGTGTTCTCGTACAATCAAGTTCAGTATTATATGGTGAGGAGTGGATGTAAATTATAATAAATATAATACCTTTCCATAAAGTCTATAAGAACCAAAAATTGTTCCATAGTAGCTCTCAATCTTGGCTCCATTTCTAAAACAAATATTATTTGGTACGTTATTAAATATTTCGATTAGGTAGGTATATAGGACACAGAGCATACCTAACTTGGAAATTGGAAACTTCTATACCTAGGTGCTATCAATACTTAGCACTTTAATAATGTGCACCCAAGTGTGCTCATATTATTAAAGTGACAGGAAGTGAATGATTGAGTTCAAAATTTGATAGGTATTAATTGTGATCTATGTATGTATTGAAAAGAATAATATTTACCAGCGTCTCTTGAATACAGCGCACTTCACAAATTCACAAGCACAATGTCAAAATGACTTTGACATAAACTATAGAATAGACAACGCTCGATTTTATCGTCTAGGTTGGCTGGTTTCAAAATACATTAATCGAGCTACGAATACTTACCTACATATAATAAAAAAAATCTTGCACGTAGATACATACGATTATCAGTTACCTACCCTCTTATTATTGGGTACCTGCCAACTTTCCAAGGTTTAAGATGACGGAGGTTTAACGGCCATTTTCTATAACCTATCTATGTGTAGATTTGGATAATGAAATAGAATTTCGACACATTTTGTACGGAGCTTGTGTTAGTATTCAGTAAGCAAATTTAAAGATAGATAGGTTATAGAAAATGGCCGTAAGACGCCTGCTTCTTATGCGTGTTTGAAACCTACCAACGGCAAGTGCCGTTATTAGTTAGTAGTTGGTATATATACTTTCTAAGATTATAAAGACACCTCTAACAAATGGTGAAGGGAAACATCGTGAGAAAACTTAGACTTATAATTTCTAATTATAAGTTTTCAAGATATCGCCAACCCGCATTGAGCAAGCGTGGTAATTAATGTTCAAACCTTCTCCCTGCGGGAAGAAGCCTTTGGTATTAACGTATATTATTAGCTACCCACTGTTCCTAAATCCATTAAAATTTTGGAAAGAATCACTTCAACTATGTACCTTTTTATTTGAACAAACTTTACACTTAACTAGGGACTTTCCCGTATTATAAATTCGTTTACCAAACCCGGAACTCCAATTCTAATCATTTCTGGTTCAGGTAAATAGGACTCAACTCTGATTTTTTTTAAGGGGGGAAAATCATCGAATGACTGCTCCCGCCTGAGTGAGGCGGGAGGGAGTGTCAGACTCTTACTGACTAAAAACCATCCCGTTCTTTCTCCTGCACGTCGAGCCGGAGCCCCTGGAACCAGTTAGGTTCTCCGCGACTCCGAATCGGCTTCAGTGGTCTGATGGCTCTTTGAAGCGCGCGCGGAACGCGACGCGCCGTACGCTCGGGTCTGTTTCTGGTCGGACGGGGAACCACCCATGCTCGCCGTCCGCAGGCCCGATTCAATTCCGAATAGAAAATGATTTGTTTGAGTTATTATTGGTTGTTTTTAATAATCAAAAATTCATCACAATGCCTCATTGGTCGAGTAGACGCAACCGTGAAAGTCGAGCCTTTTTCGGGACCTGGGATCTAGTTCGATTCTTATAGTAAAAGGATTTAACGAATTCCAAAATTTTCTTAGTAAGTACTACTAAGGAATTTATTGTTCTATTAGTTCTCTAAGTAGATAGGGCTTCTATTTATTATCTAAGACAATATTATTCTCTAAGCAGATAGGACACTTTAATTGTATGATTTTTGGTCCTGAAGACTAGGAGAGTGATATAGGTTATATTGTCCTTTCATCACGCAATCGGATAATCTACATATCAGCTAGTTACATACAAGGTTTACCTACTAGGTTGTTCTAAGGAAATAAAATAACACAGGATAATTTTATTTATCATAGAAATGTATTTATTTTCTTTATTAAACGTATAATATTACTTAAAGATATACATTCAACTAAAATTATTCATTGAGTAATTATTTTAGAAAGACATTAGAAAATTTTTATTTCTTTTTATCGCCAGTATTATATGGCATTTTATATAAAAATAAATATCACAGTTATTATTAAATTATGTATTTGTGATCGAAGTAATTATAAAGTCTAATGTAGCCTAGGTAATTACACTAAAATGTTAAGTGGCTTCAGAGGTATAACATTGTTTTTTTATATACAAGTCACCTTATTGGCTGTATCCAAAATATTTTTCTTTCTATGTTTATTCTAAGTCTCAAGAATAACCGTGTGATTGATTACTGTAGATAGAATATTGTATGTTAATATAATTCTGTTCTTAAAGGATTACGAGGATAGGAGAGGTATATCATTGACTTTTTATGGTAAACATTGATTGAAGACAACAGCAACATACAAAAATATCCAAAGAGAATTTATTCTGTACAATGACTAACTATAATAAGCACCATATTCATTCTACCAAGTTTTACTTTTCCATTTCCATGTTGGCAACACAATCTGATTACACGAATTCATAATACATCATCCTTAGCTTTTCACAGTACACATAAGGCCATTTGTTAAAATACGTGTATATATCCATACCATTATATGTATAGGTATAGTTAGCATTGATTTTATAGCACATATCTTTACTTATATATTATGTAACTTAGTTTATTTCATTTACAAATTACTATATAAGTGTACCTCTTTTAACCAGCATAAGAGATATAAATAATTTACTCAACTATGTATTATATGACGTAGGTATATAATAATATAAGGGATAAAGTCAACGAGTACAATTTTTACAACATTATTCTACAAATGCTTTATTATAATATCAATAACTAAGGCAGTTGTGTGTTGTCTATCGCAAGGAGCATTAGTCACTTAAATAGGTACTGTAGGATAGTTACAACATAATTATTTCAGATATCCACACTAACAATTAAACATCGAAGTACAATACAAACTGTACAGAAGCTAAATGGATGGTGTTTTATACCTTACATGACGTTAACTAACCAAGCACTCGATCGTTTTGAGATCAAAATGTACATATAATAAAATAATAATTCATACAATTACTTACTATCTAATTTACTTTAAACTTTATTTAATAATAACATTATACAAGTACTTATATTATAATTATGCAGATATTTGTTTAATACTAAACAGGCAGTGCAATTTTGCGCAATAGTTACTAAGTCTAGTCTTAATTCAGACGTATCCGATATGTACTTGTTGATTCAGACGTTATCTGCTGTACTTACTTATGTACTTGTTTGATGTTATAAGTGTGAATCCATATTTTAAACACTGGAGTTGAATGTAAAGCAGCTTTTAAACTGGTGAATTCCTTGATCTTTTGTGTTGCAAAAATATACATAGGCTATAAGTTGGTATTAAGTAAAGTCAAGCTTTTAGCTATCTTTAACTAGATATTTTACAATGTTCCCAAATCTTATCGCTTATCAGTACATTACATATTTACTACATAGGTAACTAGATTAAAGTACCAATGTCATAAACTTGGCATATACTTCTAAGTATATATTATTCCAAGTTAATAATTTAAAATTGAAGATTTTAATATCGCTGCAGTCGTAGAAATAAATTATGTAAAGGATAAAATATTATTCTAACAGTACCTAAAATAAGTAGTCACAATTAAAAGTGTAGAGTATAAGAACGTTAGTAAATTGATGGATAAATTAGTTGCAGCACTGGGTGAGCGTAGGGTTGAGCCGGGCGCAGGTGGGGTCTTGTAGCCTGCCCGCCGACCCGAGCGTTCTGTGGCGCATCCCATCCAGAAGGTCGCTGATGGGTATTGTTTGTCATTTTCAACGCGCATGTGCAGGTCGTTAAACTTCCAAAAACCTTTACCTTTGAAGAAATACGTTTTACCTGAAAAAGTTGAAACAATGATAATAAGCTTGCTTCGTCATCAGTTTAACTTTTAGTAGTTACGTGTCTGGTTGGATAATATGATGACTGTATGGGTTTTAGTAGTTTCTTACCATCTTTCCATTGAAATACACTGTCGATGTTGTAGCCTACGCCTTTCCACATCGCCATGTTGCGAGGATAATCGTAGTCAACACGACCTTTTTCTTCGTCATATCTGAAATAGATTAATAATTGTTTTAAATACTGTCTGTACCTACACAAAATATGTAAAGTAGTTCAATTAAGAAGTTAATTTTTAACTCACTTCCAGTACATAGAGCCACTGTAGAAATAAGTATTGCCGTTGTGACCCCAAACCATGGCAGCGTCTAGTTTCTCCAAACTTGCCGGTAGACCAAACGCTGACAACGGTTTCGGGTATCCCGGCAACAAATTTAGTAAGTCGAACAAGTACAATTGTTTACCTGAAATAAAACATAATATCGTTAGTTACTGAACTAACTTCTTGAATTAGAAACATTCTCTCCGTTTTGACTTCATTTAGATTTGCAGAATTGTAAGCTTGACTAAATTATTCCATACCTATAAAAATAGCTATTTTGCGATCCGGCCTTTCATAAACTGCATCTACATGTGTAAGATCCTTTGGTAGACTAGCCCACATTCTAGTTATTTCCATTGGATATCCAGGATAGCGTCCATGAGCTCCTATCCTCCAGTGGTACTGAAAATAAATGAACATTTATCAATGTGTATTTTAAACAAAGCTGTGGAAGTTAAAACTTGGAATAGTTTACCTACCTAATGCGAAATTAAAATGGTATTGTGTTGAATACTCACTCGATTTTTAAATATGAAGAGCTCGCCACGTATGAGCGCGACTGCGTCGTAACTAGTGTCACACGTGTCAGGTTTGTCTGAAGGAGTCGTGGTCGTCGTTCGCTGAGTCGTCTTCTCTGGATAGTACGGCTTCCTTGGATTATCTTGCCTAGGATCGTTCGGGTAATGAGGTCTAGGATTACTCGGGTACTCAGGCTGCACATAGGGATACCGCGGGCGATAGGTAGTGGGATGGGTGGTACGTTCAGTGGGACGGTAGGTGTGGTGGTGATTCGTGCGTCGCGGGTGTTCGTCGCTCGTATTGTAATGGCGGCGGTGATCAGGATAATGTCGTTCAGGGTATCTATTGGGAATGCGTGGGGTGTACCCTCTGTTAGGGTATTGTTCGGGATGTCTGTTGTGATGGCGATCATGATAAGGAATGTATGGTCGTCGAGTGGTGGTAGTCGTGGTAGTGGTGGTGGTTGTTGTCGTGGTAGTAGTAGTCGGCCTAAATTGTGGTACTTTTCCCCATTGTGTTGTGTCTGTCTTAGGACCTGAAAAATGAATCAAATGAAAATAAACATATTTGAAGTTTTTGATTCTAAAGTCATGACAAATTATATTGGCTACTTGATGCTTACCATACATTTGTTGAATACCATTGCGATCATCTTCTGGTAAAACAAAGTTTTGTTGAATTCCTTGATACCACGGAAACATAAGCGCGCCCTTTACAGAGCTGTGGCTCAGACCCAATGAATGGCCGAACTCGTGGGCAGCCACCGCAAAAAGTGAAGTTCCTGCAACGTAATAAACGCAACAATTAACTACAGAAACTTAGCACTGAATATTTTTTTAACCCTAATATTGATACAATATGGACTAACGCAGGGTTACTCAAAATCAGAATTGTCATTGTAATCGTTTGGCGATGTTGGCGTAGTTTATATTCTATTCACATGTTGGTTCAGTCGAATGAAGGTGGATATTTACACATGGCTAGCCGAATACAATTCGAAGTGGCGTTGTAACCGTCCGTTGTCCGTGTAAATTATCACGTGTGCACAGTGCCGAGCGGCGCGGTAATCGCAGCGGTGTCCTGGACGCGCCTGCGGTCGCCTATCGGCTGCTGCCGTGTTTACACTATACATGCGACGACCACACTTGGCACGCTTCGCTATGTTCCTACTCTATCTATATCCATTAATTTTGTCTTCTGTACCTAAGTATCCTTTTAATACAATAAATAATCATTAATTACGTACAGTTACCCTAAGTTACTACTTAGAAATGGGAGAGATGGTTGAAAAACAGGTAGATAAACGCTAATAAGAACTAACTGTAAAATGTGTGTGTAAAATGCATGTACATTTAATTGATGACAATGTCCGTATTCAGGGTATTAAACAGTTAACCTGTGATAGTCAGAATGAGAGCGTGTGTAACGATGGAGGTGAACAGCGTATGCCGGCGCTTTCGACATTTGCATGTCAAAACATGGCTGACCGCAACATACTCATTTCCGAGCTACACGTGAACTTTCACGTAAGTTCAGCATGTTCATCGGAAATCTGTTAATTATGTACGCGTAATTATATTCTTTCATGAAACTCATTGATTACACGATAATTAAGATACAAAATGATTACAGTAGGTAAATACAAAAATAATGCACATAGTGTAGTGCAAAAACAAAAGTAAAATGATGACGCTGGCCCTACAGTTTGTTTGAAATTGGCTCAAAATACGATTGTTTACCTTCTTCATCGTCATCTCTTGGTTGCAGCAGCCACAGCTCGTCATCGTCAAAGTGTGCATCTCCACCGCGGCCAGTGCCAGGAAAGAACGCGTGCGCAAGGATCGCGCCGCGCCCGTCAAATGGATACGCGTCGTCATGGTAACGCCTGGTTCAGAAAAAACAAAATTTAAGTTAGCTAAAGCATAAAATGCTAATACATAAAAATAATATCGTGTGATGAACTTGCTGTTGGCTTTACTGTTCATGAAACAGTCATACTAAAGTAATGTATTCATTTCGCAACAAACAACAATGGATGGAGTGGATGGAGTCTGCAGAGCAATCAAACTTGCGTCCCCCGAGTCCCACGCTCGACTACTACCCACCTAATCATTTTTCGCGCCAACAAAACAACGGAAAGACCTCGCCCATGCATATTTCACGCAATATTAGCTGACCGTTGCGTTATTGAGTTTCCATGTGAAAGTTCTGCTATTAACCGATATGGGCGGGGTGCGCTAATAGGGAAAATATTCCTATACTTAGTACGGCTATTATTATGCTCGCTCGGCTTCTGAGTCGCTTAAGTAATAAAAACCGCAGTGGAATATTCCCGTAGCGATTTCCCGCCGTATTGATGGCACAACCAATGTCGGGAACGCGATTTTCATCTTTGTTTCGTTCACCCGTTTGAAAGCGATAGAAAAATGCAATCTGTATTTTGAAATCTACATTACCTTGCTTGTAATGACAGCACTTTTATTGAGTGCTTTCACAAAGGTAAGGTAGTGGAATGAGGAAGTGTCTCGCTGACATACGCCGTCAAATATAATGGGTTCGGAATGGAAAGTTTCCGAGTTTGGGGATGATTTATTGCTATGTTGGTATCTGCCCTTAGCAACAAATGTATGCGTATATGAAACGGGTCAATGTGAACAATATTTCATATAACCCTTTTTGTAAAGATGTAATAAAGTTAGACTTACAGGCACAAAGCCAAGCATGAAAGAAATATGGTCTTTATTTTAAATTGGTTCATAAAATATACATTACATTTCTAAATGCATGAGAACTTAAGTATTGTATATAAGCGTATGATAGCAGCCAGTGATTGCACTTATATCATTCGTGAGTTGGAGAACGCAGTTAAGTTGTACGTATCCTTTATTACTTGGGCAATATTACAGTTTATGAGGGCAATAAATCTGGTAGACGCATAGTGTAGGGTGTGCTTTGTGCAATCACTCTGTGTTCTGACTCAATAGAGTGATGAAGTGATGATACGTCCCTTATGTATTCAATAACAGACTATCACTACAAATGCTCATAGTCATTATCGACATAGTTACGTTACAGATGATTGCCATATAAAACTTTTTCTAATGAAATATTACTTGATGATTAATTCTAGATCTAAATAAATTAATCTGAGTTAATTACATTTTACATAGATATGGCAAGCAGTAAAATTTTCTTTAACACTTATTTAAAGTTTGGGTACCTATATCATTGATATTGTTGTATAGGTATATTTGATACTTGTATAATTGTAAATTCACTACTTCCACATACATACATTACTTGTTAGTACAGTATCCTTATATTAGTTTCTATTCCTTTGGATGACAACTTTTCTGTTGTAGGAAACGGAAGACTTTTATAGAGTGTAATATAAGTTAACGGCACGCATAAAATCCGAGAAAGGTACCTACGCGTCGTAGCTCGTAGCAATTGATACGCCCTCTCTATCGTAATATAGACTTTAATAATCTTAAAGCTTCGTGCGTTTAATATAAATCTATTTTAAAGACGTCTGTTGTATATTATTCATTTCTTAAAGTTTAAGTAAACCTGAAATGCACACAGAATGTATCGCAAGCATTATCGACGACATCGCGACTCGTGAGCAAACTTCTTATTGATTCGACAGCAAGTAATAAAAGTACGGTCGTGACGTGACCAGGGACGCATCAACTCACAAAATGAGACGCTCCCGGGGTGCGGAGAAAAAAGAAAATTTTATGCAGAGTGCGGTGAAGTTGTCGGATGCCGCTGCAAGTTTGCAACGTGCGCCGCAATATGGCGGTCGCAATATGTCCAGTGTTGAGGTTTTTGTCGCCCCGCTACTTTCTCATATCGCCGTTTACGGTGATCTAATAAGTAAAAGTTCGCCCTACTCTCATTCAATATGAGGCTACTGTCGGGAACTTTGCGTCATTTGTCAGGGTTAGCTCCGTACGTCCCTGTCGTATCTGTTTACTATCATAATTTTGTTATGTCGCCATATAAAATTGTTCGTGAAATAGTGTCGTTTCAGTGGAACGAAAAGAATTATTAATGGAAGAAGAAATATTATAGTTGAGATAGTTATGACGGAGATTAGGTGTAACATTCGCTATAGGAAAATGTAGAAATTAGTACACAAATTAGTACCATTATTTTACACAAAGATAATTACATCTAAACTACAATTTTTTTTTACTTAAAATTTTACTTTACTACACAAGGTACAATGAAATAGATATAGTGGATACGTTTTTCTTTAAGCAAAGAGATTAGAAAACTTCTGCTATTAAACCATGGGTTCTAAATGTTTAACTAAACTAAAGTTAAACCATGACTATTTACAACGAACTTAAAGCACATAAAAACACTTGAAAGCAAAACCCCTTTGATTTTTATTTGTTCCTTTACTTACTAGGTTTTAACTGTGTTTTTTTAAATCTTGAATTTTTTATCTAAAATAGGTATCTCAATACTTATTCTAGTCGTTAAGTGAACGTTATAGTGTTCAATTTGGTTTGAACTGCGTCCGACCCTATTCTTATGCCCCGCACGAGAAGATCGCAAATCCCCTTAAAATGGATAGGACGTTTCTGCAAATCCTCAGTTGATTATTATTTATTATCAACACAATAAATCAAGCTTGGAGATATTTAAAGAAGTCTGCCAATTTTATTCGTTGCGAAATATATTTTCTCTGTTGGTATGCTATAGGAACCTTACGTTGGACTCGGTTTTGAATGAAGTGATCGGAATATTCCACGTGTAATAATATTAAGAAGAAAGAAAAAGTCGTACCTATAAACGATATATTTGTATATAGTTTAGGTTGTGACTTACTTAGCAAAGGAAACGACGATATCAGCCTCGTCCGAGTTGATTTCTGTGAAGGTAAGGCGTGACGCCTGTGCCCATACGTTGAGTGCCCGTGCGAGTACACTGCGAGTTTCGTACGGGTCCAGCTGTGATGGCCGCCGAGTCGAAGACAAGCTGGAACAAAATAAAGGAACGTAAGCACATCAACTTTATGTATGACTTATTATTCTCTATCAAAAATAGATTGCAAGTAGGTATGAAAGTTTCATTGTCATGATTATTGTTTGCGTAACTTGAAATTTGCGAGTCTTAATAATAAAATAGTGAACCTTTGCTTAATAGCAGTTGACGAGAGTGGTCATTACGTAAGTCGTAAAGGGATGGTGACTGTAGGTATTGTACTCGTGCGTGAGTGGCATGGGGCTGAACGTACCCCATTTCAGAGCTGTGTGGTGTACTGCGGCCGGACAGCTTTCGAGTAATGGAATAATCGCATTGTGGACAATTTGAGTGACTCGGCCCTATTTAACGCTCGCTGCGTTCATTACATGGGATTTATGCGTTGTCATTGTCATGTACAACACAGAGACCTCATTAGGTCCACACAGGTTTTAATTAGGGATCTAGTCCGAGCTTAATACCACTAAGCGGATATATGTCGCGATGCTATTATAACTGCAATGGATGATCTCTAGCGGATCGTATTAATCATTGCCGTTGTATCGGCAAGTGCACTAACCCACTAGTGTCGTGGTCAGCTTTCAGCCTATATTTGTACAACAAATTTTGTTGGATAAAATATGGTATCTGCGGGTAATTAAAATTAACCAACGCGGCCGCCGCCCGCAGCTCCTGTTGTTACCAATTTATTTTAATACAATTATTTAGGGACACCGGGGAAATTAGAGACTTAAAGCGTGTGCGACTTACTAATGTTGCGAAATCAACGTTATTCATTTGAACTGCACAGTTCTCGTCTCTAGGCAGTAGCGACGTAGGTACAGTCATACGAATGATATGTGCAAAATAATTCATCGAGGCTTTTTAATGTGCTGGCTGCCCCAGGACAGTAGGGCGGCAGCGGATGGAAACCGCTCGAAATTTATTATTGCCATATTAACATGGGCCGCCGTTCGTGCACGCACTATATCAGCCAACTAGTTAATTGCAAGCCTTGGATGAAACTCGCAACCGCATTTCGAAGTTAATGTTGTTATGTCAGCCCAAAATAATGAGTGTGGTCAAACTGCACGGGAGAATTTCACGTAGATACACAACGTAGATTGCTATATACAATCTTTGTGATAATATTCGAAGTTGGATATCAGAATATCAGACAATACTTACTCGTATTGAATAACTTAGATGACGACTATTTTGTCAAACGTGTCCGGCAATAGTGTGCGAGTAACATCCCTTATCGACAGGCGGCCTCCCGGAGTGCCACGTCACGCGTGTCATGTATCTTTACACCCCATTACACTAATTATCTGATAATCAAATCCACACACGTCCATGTCCACGTATGTTAGAACAGCCTAAATACACATGTGCGCTACGTTGTGGACATATGATTACTTATTAAATTCGCATCGCCTCGTACCTCCTTATATTGATATTGATTGTAAATTAGTACTAATTAGTACCTCATTTCTTAATAATCAAAGAGAAATTCTTTGATTTTTAAGAAATGAGGTAAATTTTCCAGTCTTCATTCGGTTCCAAAGTTTTCGAAGATGAAGCCGGAAAAATGCTCTTTTTATAATGCGAAACGAGGTCGGTACCGTAATAATTTTCATTTAAATGAAACACGTGAGTTCGCAAATAACTTTGTAGTGGTTTTGAAGGACTTCGCAGCACGTTGTTTATTGGTGGGTCAGTTTGAAGGAGTTGAGAGTAAACAGAAGCCTACAGTCTGACTGGGGTGGTGAGCTGTGGACACGTGAGAGTGGGCGGCATCTGGCGAGGGCACGTGATCACGTGCTCGCCTTTACATTACAATACTCCGGGTCACGCCTACACGCACTACGACTTCTATACGACGACGACACCTTTCAAATCCTGCCCGGTAAATTTCATTTCACATATTGACGTAAGAAGATAACTTTTAGTACATATTACTTAGGTATGTAGGTATAATAAAATTAGGTACTTCAGAAACACTTTTCGAAAATATAACCAAGAATATCGTTATGTCATCGAAGACAAACTTATAGTGAAAGCATTTTTATTGTTACACTCGTTTAACGTATGCACGCACCTATGAGATTGACACCCGCATGAGTTCATGAAATCTTTATTCCCTATAAATAACCTCCTTTGTTATATTTATTGGTAGTAAAGTGTCGTGATGCGCGTTCGATACTTACATTAAAATGTAGCGGTATAATTTAGCGGCAGCGGCACTGCGTTTATAGCGTGAAATAATAAAAGCATGCGATATTGTGACGACATGGCGACGCGAGACGTCTTCACTGCGAAATGGACATAATCTGGTTACGATGTCATAACAAACAGATTTGTAAGCACGAATTTTATGGGCTGTGTCCAACGAGCTAAAATTTAATTTTCTGAAATAATCTGTCAGCGAGCTATTAAAATTATTCGTCCGTGTACAGTCCTACAGACGCGACGTTACACTTTATTACTGCAAAAGATGTTACAAACAGGACAGTGACAAACTTTGTTGGCCGAATATTGCTTTATTACCGCGTATATTTTCTGCTGTATCATATTAGACCATAATACTTTAGTATCTGAACACTTACAGCATTCTTTGTGACCTGCACAATAAAACCTACACAAGAAGTTGTTCTACGACTACGACTGTGTCATAAACTTCTACGGAAAATTGAATAAAAATGTTTAGGGGAAATTACACTTTCTTTTCTGTGATATAAAATCTTAAGTTAAAATGTATTTTAAATTGTTGGAAAATAGTATATAATTTTCATAGTTTTTTCAATTTCTAAGACCCTAATCTACAATTGTAAGTACCGACTTATTAGATAAGTAACTGGGTGATTTTCCAAAAAAAATCAAAAAATTAACGGCGTCATTATCCTTAAGCCACAGTTAACAATTTTGCTGATTAAAATACAAAATTTAATTTCAAAAAATTGAGCCATGTCACTGCTCTCACCCAATGCAATAAGTTACTGCGATGCTTAACAACGCGGGAAGATAATGATTTGTTAAATAAAAGTTAAAGTTTTTTGAAGAAACACCCAACTATGTTTGCAGGTACTTGCCTAATGTATCCTCGTTGAAAGGAATATTTCAACAAGGACAGTGATGCCAAATTGCTTTTTATTTTACTGTTCGAAAGGGGGAATTAGCATAAAAATAATAAAATGTCAGTGGGATAAGGTCCCCCGTTGCGTGTCAGGCGCGCCCTGCCACCGTCTGCCTGTCAAAACGATTGTCAGCTCACCTCCGACTGCGTGCGAGACATGGAGCTGTTATCTCGATTAGTGTTCATATTCACAAAAACATCGGTACCTACCTATACAATGTTATCGATAGCCGATTACTATTAATTTATTTATCAATCTCTAAATTGACATTTTCACAAAACTAAATGAAGCCCGCATATTATTCTGTCATACTCACCGATTCGATTCGGTCTCGATATACCTAATATATAATCATTGATTACACACTCAATTGTACAAATATTAACGGTATAAATAAAAGTAAATAGTATAACGAATAAATCATCAAAACAACCCACATTTAGGAATGTTAGTCAATACTACCGATTGCTTTAATTGTTCAGCCGATGCAGTAAGGCACTCCTTTGAAATGTCTTCCCCTCCATCGTGCCGCGTTGCTTGCGCCTTCAGCTCTCATGCCGTACATTGTAGATAAGCGACGTGGCAATAGGCATTGATGCTCACTGGGGATTTCAATAGCAGTCTACCGCTTGAATTCTTTGATGTATGAAGGGATTTAAAGAGACTCTCCAACGTGAGGAAATTTCAATTTCGATGCATTTCTGTTTTGTACTTTTTCCACCGTAACCACTTATAAAAATGTTGTTGTTGTTTGAAGCTTGGAATGTATAAAGACCGTGGTTAAGAAGATACTTCTTAACTTAGGTAGAAAACAGGTAGTGTACCTGGGTATCAGAAAACAGGTACACTACCTGTTTTCTATCTAAGTATATGAATAATATCTGTTCGTTTTTTTAATATTTTTATTTTTTATCTATTTTCCTGTACAAAATAACCGATAGCGCTCAGTCCAGCGCAAAGATCTAGAGCTGCTGGCGTCGCTTCCTAATTGACCTCTATCGGCGTATTCCTTTAATAATAGCTCCTTTGAATGTCGGCTGTCGGCTGGCAGCTCTCACGTGCGCCATTGTGGAGGAAGCATTGACGCTCCTTAGGGATTTGAGAGGATTTCTAGACAACGCTTTACCGTCTCTCTATAGACGTCGGTTTAAACGCTAGTTCTGTCTCTATTGTGTCGACGTTTACATGTTTGTAGAAGATTATAATGGTTCTCTAAGAGACAATATTATATTTCCATTGATATTATGTAAACCTTCATAGAAATTTCACCTGTTATTAACAAACATCTGTTATGTTCGATGAGCGTTTAGATTAGGTGTTCGCCGGTGAGCGACGCGCATAGACGAAATTAGCGAAGCTGGTCGGTCGGCAGAGCGCCGGGAGCGGAATTAAGTCGAGAGTAACGTTGTTATGATGGTAATGGCATATTACTGTTCGCTTCGTGCGGACATTTTCCGCACGAGCACAGATACAAAATTGAAACGATTTTTCAGTGATACGATTGCATCGGTAATCAGTGAGCGTGCACTTCACAATTCATGTTGAATATAGATGATGTGACTCTGTAAGGTCGTTCCCAATCTTGTTACTGATTTATTTAAAAAAATGAGGCTTGATGGGGGTAGAAAGGTATTTGATTAAAAAAAATGAGGTTCTGAATGCATTTAAAAGTAAATAGAATTAGTTTCCTACGACCACTTTTGTTTCGTTTAAAAGTCGTTCTAAAACAGATAAAGTTATATTTTGGGTTGAGGGAGAGAAATAATATGAAATGATATACCTACGTTAGTTCTTAGCTCTCTCTGGCACTGGTATGATTAAACTTATAACAGTGGCTAAACTAAGACCTAGTTAAAGACACGCGTTGTTACAACTTTT